CACAGCACCGAGCGGCGGTACCTTGCGGAAGGAGAGCTCCACGTGCAGATCGCCTCGGAAGTTGTAGAGCGCCAGCGCCTCGCCGTATTCCAGCACCTGGAGCGTGGGAGCCTTGATGGGCTTGGGCACCTCCGTGGGGGGCAGGATCTGGGGGGGACACGCGGGTGAGGGGCAGTGGCAGCACCCCCGGCCCCGCTGTCCCCTCACTGCCCGGGCTCACCTCCACGTAGTTGGAGGGGAAGATGCCCACGCGGCCGTGGTGCTCCCCCTCCAGCCAGTTCCTGTCCACCTCCTTGTGGATGTAGACGATGTCTCCCTTCTGCAGCGTCAGCTCCCTGCAAGGGACACTGGCACAGCTGCCCGGGGGCACAGACCCGGCCCTGGCTCGGCTGGCAGGGCCACCCCCAGTCCCCATCTGTCACCCCAGGGGCACGGTGGGACCCCAGGAGTGACCCCAGTGCTCACTTGGGAGACTCGGCTTGGAAGTTGAACTTGAGGCGAGCAGCTTTCATCTGGGAGGGAGAGGAGAGGTCACAGGGAGACACCCCCAGTCCCTGCCACCCCAAATCCCACACGGGATGGGACCGTGCCAGCCTCACCTTTTTCTCCTCCCTCTTGACGGCCTCCACGGGGTCCCCCAGGTCTGACAAGCTGGGGAGGGTCCCTGGCCTGAGGGTGTCTGTAAAGGGAGGGATGTCACCAGCTGGGGTGCCCGGGGTGCCCTGTGGCAGGGTTTGGGGGGCTCCTGGGGGCTAAAGGGGGCTCACCTCTGCCAGGGCTCCGGTCACTGGCCAGCCCCAGCCCACCCCGCTCCATGCTGGGGGTGACAGGGGGGCTCCACAGCCGGTGGGGGGACAGGGGGGTCCTGTGGGGTGACAGCGGCTCAGGGCAGGGCTGAGCTCCTCTCCAGCCCTGTTGCCACGAACCCTCCCTGCTCTGACCCTGCTGCCCTGGGTGGGGGAGGGCAGGACCCCTGGTCCCACGGAGCAGGAAATGGGGGTCCTGTGAATTGCATGGACCAGCACCCCTGGGTCTCATGGACCAGGACATCAGGGACCCTCAGGACTCCTGTACCCCAGGGACCAAGCCCCCTGGACCCCTGGGTTCACAGACCAGGAATTCGGGGTTGTCCAGGACCAGGATCCCTGAATTCCATGAACCAGGATATTGGGGTCCCCCCAGAACCAGGATCCCTTGGTCCCATGGATGAGGATACTGGGGTCCCCCAGAGGTCCCATGGATGAGGATATTTGGGTCCCCCAGAACCAGGACCCCAGGATCCCATGGGTGAGGATATTGGGGTCCCCCAGAGGTCCCATGGATGAGGATATTGGGGTCCCCCAGAACCAGGACCCCGGGATCCCATGGGTGAGGATATTGGGGTCCCCCAGAGGTCCCATGGGTGAGGATATTGGGGTCCCCCAGAACCAGGACCCCTTGGTCCCATGGATGAGAACATTGGGGTCCCCCAGAACCAGGACCCCGGGATCCCATGGGTGAGGATATTGGGGTCCCCCAGAGGTCCCCTGGATGAGAACATTGGGGTCCCCCAGAACCAGGACTCCGGGATCCCATGGGTGAGGATATTGGGGTCCCCCAGAGGTCCCCTGGATGAGGATATTGGGGTCCCCCAGAACCAGGACCCCTTGGTCCCATGGATGAGAACATTGGGGTCCCCCAGAACCAGGACCTCGGGATCCTATGGCCCAGAACCACTGGGTCACCCCCGTGTGAGGACGCCGGGGTCCCCCAAAACCAGGAGCCCGGCTCCGCTCTCTTCTCCCCTCCAGCGGCTCCTCCCAGAGGCAGCCAGGCGGGACAGGTCCGAAGTTTTCCGGCAGCGCCGGCAGCCCGGCCCCGCTGCCGCCGAGCAGGAAGCGCCGGGGAGGGCTAATGAATAACCCCGCTCCGGGGGGCACTTAAAGAGCCCAAATGCACCCCCGAGCCGGAGGAGGGGTTTGGGGGGCGGGGGGTACCCCCGTGCACCCCCTGAGGGTTACGGTAGGTCCTACAAGAGGAGGCGCTTGTTTGTTTGTTTTTTTTGCTTTCCTCCCGCTGCCGCGGCTCAGAGGGGTGGCTGGGGACACCCCGGCGTTCCCACCCCTTTCCCGGGGTGCCCATCCCATCGCGGGGTGCTCCGGGACTCGCGGGGACAGCTGTCCCCTCCCTGTGCCCGTGGGGACACGGCGGTGGGAATCCGAGCGCCGCCGCCTCCCCTGGGACGGAGCCAAACCCCGGGACGCGCTGTCCCGGCTCCGGGGACGGGGACAGGGCCAGCCCCGGTCGGTCCCACCCTCCGGGCAGCCGGCCCGGCGCCGGCTCCCACCCGTGCCGGGCTCTGGGGGGGCCGGGGGGCTCCGCGGGGATCCCGCGGGGGATGCCCGGGGACCCCCACCCCGCGGGGACAGCCCGCCCGCCACCCCCAGAGCGCGGTCCTGTCCCTCGCCCCGAGTGGGGTCTGGGCACGGGGGGGATTTGGGGATTTGGGGGTGCGGGGCGGCGTGGGAGCGGCCGCCGAACTCACCGAGCAGCCGGGGAGGCCGGAGCAGGGGAGCGAGCGGTGGGAGCAGCCGCCGGGCTCTGCCGGGAGGAGCGGAGGGGGTGGGAGAGAAAAATTAATCATCCAGGAGGCCGAGTCTCGGCGGGAAGCGAAGGAGTCCAGCCCGGCTGCGCCAATGAAGCGCCGGCCGGCCGGCCGGACAGACGGACGGACGGGCTGGGTCCTAGAGCCCCGCAGCCACGGCCGCCGCTCCGGGCCGCTGAGCGTGGTCCAGATGTGCGTGGAGCCAGCCAGGCGGGCACCGAGCTGTGCACGCATCCAGATGTGCGTGCAGCTCGCCCGTGCATTCACCCGGCCGTGCAGGCATGCAGATGTGCAGGGCTCCAGCCGTGCAGGCATGCAGATGTGCAGGGCTCCAGCCGTGCATGCATCCATCCAGCTGTGCACGCATCCAGCTGTGCTGGCATCCAGTCATGCAGGCATCCAGTTGTGCACACATCCAGCCGTGCACACATCCAGCTGCACTGGCATCCAGTTGTGCACACATCCAGTCGTGCACCCATCCGGTCGTGCACACATCCAGCTGTGCTAGCATCCAGCTGTGCACACATCCAGTCGTGCACACATCCAGCTGTGCTAGCATCCAGCTGTGCACACATCCCGCCGTGCACACATCCAGCCGTGCGTGCACCCAGCTGTGCACGCACCCATCCGAGCATTAATCCAGACGGGCACGCATCCTGCCACGCGTGCATCCAGCTGTGCATCCCACCACCCGCACGTCCCAGCCTTGCACAAAGGCTGAGCCCACAGCTGGATGTGCCCACAGCTGGGTGTGCCCACAGCTGGAAGCCCTGCGGGGACCGAGGGGCAGCAGGAGGGGCCGGGGGTACCTGGCGGGGCGCCCGGCGCGTCTCCATGTCCCTCATGTCCTTGTCCAGCTCCTGGCTGAGCTGCTCCAGCTCCTGCTCCAGCAGCACCTGCAGGGGCAGGACGGGGCTGGCACGGCCCGCGGGCACCGGGACCCCGCTGCCACCCCCTGCCCCCCGCCCGCCACGGCCGCCTCACCTCGATGGACTGAGCCCGCTTGGGCCGCGCTGCTGCCGGGCTCTGGAAAGGGCACGGGGCCGCTCAGGGTGCGCCCACCGCGGCGCCCACCCCTCCCCGTGTGCCAGGCCTGCCTACCTGCTCCCGCGGAGAGAACTTCCCTGGCTCGTAGTCGAAAATGCTGCCAGGCTCGGCGGTGGCACTGCTGGCACCCCAGCGGCTCCTGTGGAGGACGGGAGGGGTTCGGCCCCCGCAGCCCCCACCCGTGGGCACCCGCGTCCCCGGGCCACGCTCACCAGTCCATCCCGTTGGGCATTCCGGGGGGCTCTGCTGGCGCCGAGCCCCTCCTCCGCGGCTTGGGGGGCGACGGAGGCGCGGTGGCGGGGCAGGAATGGGTGTCCCAGTCGGGCTCTGAGGATGGGCGAGGTGAGCGGGCGCCGAGCCGTGCCCGCTCTGTGCCACACCCGCACGCCCGGCCTCACCTGGCAGCTTGCGGTGGATCTGCCGGAACATGCTGCGGTACCAGTCTCGGGGGCTGTCGACGCTCTGGGGGGGACAATTTGGGGTGGTGAGGGGGTGACAGCGGGGTGACACCCCCCGCCCTGCGCCCCCACTCACCGAGCGTGAGGCGAGGGGCATCCCCGTCTCGTCCACGGGCCCGATGCCATCGTACTTCACCCAGCGCCTCTCCCGCCGCTTGCTGTCCTTGGTCCAGGTTGCCGACCAGCCCGGGGGGCACGAGGGGGCAGCCCTGGGGCTGGGTGTGGGGTGGGCGGGCATCTGGGTGCTGGGGGCTTTCGCCTCCTTGGCTGGCCAGGTCTGGTACCACTCATTCACTGGAGAGAAGGTGGCACGGCTCAGGTGGGCACGGCTCAGGTGGGCACGGCTCGGGGGAGCCCCCAGGGTGTCCCCAGTTGGCTCAGGGCTCTCTGTACCTGAGCTCTTGGGAGCTCCCTGGCTGTTCCCGGCGGTGCCGCGGCTCTCCGGGTCATGGAAGTGGAAGTTGAGGGTGTTGGAGCCGCGGTGGCGGATGACGGGCACCTGTGGCACAGGGAGGGGCTGGCACAAAGGACTGGGGGGTGCAGCCCCCCCGAAGCTCCCAGCATGTGCCAGCCCCCAGCGCCACTCACCCGTGTCACCGTGTGCTGCGGGGACACCCGCAGAGGTGGCTGGAGGCGGGGAACGTCCTCCAGTCCCAGCGCCGGGCTGGGCTCGGGGGGCCGGAGCCGGCCCGCCATGGCCGGGGGCGCTGGGGATGGTGCCCGGGGGCTGCCCGTGCCCTGCGGGAACAGCAGCTGTGCTCACGGCGCGTCCCGTGTCCCAGTTTTCTGGGCATTCCCACGTTTGCCAGAGCGATGGGGGCTCGGAGGACCCCCAGCCCCACTGCTGGCAGCACCCCCCGTTACTCGGAGGCGCAGCGGTGACAACCGCGGTGGCAGCGTCCCCAGCTCGGGGAGCCTCGCGGTGCCAGGGGAAGCGGCTGTTCCTGCTCACAGCCAGCCCTGGCACGGGTCCCCACCGCTTCTCCTTGCGGCTCCAGACCACCCGGCCCTGTTCCTGCCCGGCTCTGCAGGGATGGATCCGGTTCTTCCTCGGGAAGAACACGCCCGGAGCGGGCCGGGGCGATGGCTGCGCCGCGTTCCCATCGCCCTGGCATCCCGGCTCGCTGCCCTCCCGCCCGGGCACGCGGCGGCAGCAGCGTCGCCCGCCCGGGAGCGCTGCCAGGGCCGCGAACACGACAGGGCAGAAATATTTCCCCGCCCTGCAGCGCAAACAGGGAGGGAGAGGGGACGGAGGGACGAGGAGCAGGAACGCGCGGCCGAGCCCGGCACCGCCCGCCGGGAGGCCGGGAGGGCGATGCCGTGACTCACCGCGGGCCGGCCGGGGGGCAGCTGGGGGGCACGGGACCCCCGGAGCCGTTCCCGACGCCGGGATGGCTCCGGAGGCGAGCGCAGCACCGGAGCCTTTGGGGGACACCTGTGCCCTGGCTCGTCCCTTGCGCCTTCGCAGGTGCCAGACCCCGCCTCAAACGGGGCATCCTGGGGGGCTGCCGGGGGGTGCCAGCCCGGCACGGTGCCCTCTGTGTGTGTGTGGGGACCCCCAAATCGGGCTGGCGGCCCCTCGGCTCCGCTGGAGGCTCGGCAGCCCCAAGGCTGTAATTAATGTTAATCACCCCCGTGGGGAAAACTGAGCGCCAGGGAAGGATGTGCCCCGGGGCACAGAAAGTGGGGTGCAGGCTTCCATCCCCCCAGGGCACCCCAAAAACCTCCGCGCCATTCCCAGCGCAGTGCTCACACGGGGCTCGGCCCCCTCCTTCTCCTCCTTTAGTGTCCCCCAAAACCTGTTCCCGGGGGTCTCCCCGGGGCTCCCCCAGCCAGCTCTTACCTCCTGGGCGGTGCCAACGGGGGCCCCCGGCGAGCTCCGGGGTTTTGGGGAGCAGCCCCGGGGCGAGCGGGACGGAGCTGCGAGCGGCAGGGAGGAAAAACCCACGGCACGAACTTGGCCGGGAGAAGGAGCAGGGAGGTCTCAGCGCATGGCGGGGGGCTGAGCCCCCCAGGAGCATCCCCCGGGAGGGGTGGGAGGCTCCGTCCTGCCCGGCGCTGGGTCCCCGTGTGCCCCGGCACCCCGGGGTGCGCTGCCCCCCCCAGCGCTCCCCGCTCTGGAGCGGGGCCGGCCCATTCAGAGTTTCCAGTGACATTTCCAGGGATGGGATCCAGGGAACGGAGCCAAGGGGCTGAACTCATCCCACGCCCCGCGCACGCGTTCCCGAGCGCCCGGCCCCCGCTTACGAAACGGGGCGAGCCCGGCGTCGCCGGCCCCCCGGCGCGATGGAGACGGGGGCTCGGGGGGCGATTTTTGGGAAAGGATGGGGAGGGAAGTGCCGGCTGGAGGTCGGGTCTGTGCTCCTGCGGACCTTGGAGCGCCGGGATGGGGCCAGGGGGAAAGCAGAGCCCCCATCCTCACTGCCGCCCGCTTTCCCACGGGTGACCCTCCATGCCCTCCATCTCCTCCATCCCGCAGGGGTTTGGGCACTGGGGACCCCCATGCAAGCCCCCCGTGCCCTGCCTTTGTCCCACCACACCCCCTCCAGCGTCACCGGTTCCCCATCGGATGGAGAAGGGGATTTAGGGGGGATTTTCGGAAGAGGGTGAGGGAGGAAATGCTGAGAAGGTGAGCACCGAAGTGGGGAGTGGGGTCGGTGCTCCTGTGCCCACCCAAACTTTGGCGTGGGGCAGTCAGAGCAGAGCCCCCATCCCCACTGCACCCCTGCATCCCCTTCCCCCGCCCATCCCTGAGGAATCCGGGCATGGATCCCCCGCGGGACTCCCCCGTGCCCTGCCCTGCCCTGCGGGTGCCCCGTGCCCCCCTCGCCCCCTCGGGCAGCGCCCGCACCCAGCACTCACCCGGCGGCCACTTCCCGCTCCCCTGAACTGCTGACACCCCCAAAACGGCGCTGCCCCAGCCCTTCCTCATCCCGTGAGCTCCCACGTCAGCTCTCGGGGGCAGGGTGGCTTCGCTGCCACCCCTCGGTCCCCACCAAGCCACCGCCCTCTGCTGCCGGGGGCGAGGGGGGCGATGGATGGCAGGAGCCCCGGCTGGCTGCGGGGACACGGGGACACACACGGGGGACAGCGGGGACACCGGGGACACACACGGGGGACACGGGGGACACACACGGGGGACACGGGGGACACACACAGGGAACACGGGGACACGGGGGACACACACGGGGGACACAGGGGACACCGGGGACACACACCGGGGACACGGGGGACACACACGGGGGACACGGGGGACACCGGGGACACACACAGGGACACGGGGGACATACACAGGGGACACCGGGGACACACACGGGGGACACGGAGGACACACATAGGGGACACGGAGGACACACACGGGGGATACACACAGGGGACACGGGGGACACCAGGGACACGGGGGACACACACGGGAGACACGGGGCACACGGGGGACACACACAGGGGACACGGGGGACACAGGGGACACCGGGGACACACAACAGGGGATACGGGGCACACGGGGGACACAGGGGACACGGGGGACACGGGGGACAGGGCGTCCTCCCCCCGCCACGGCCCTGGGGGACGCAGCTCCCGCCCCGATGCCGTAGGAATGAGGGAGCTCCTTGGTGCCAGCTGGGGACAGGGGCTGATCCTGCTGGAAACCCCCGGGGTGACAAGGGCAGGGACGGCAGCAGGACCGGCCGGGGAGGGTTAAACCGGGCGGGGGACCCCCGAGCCAAGCCTGGGTGGGCTGGAGGGGACGGGCACCCCTTGGCAGCGGGAGCTGCCAAGGGGTGCCCGTCCCCTCCAGCCCACCCAGTGACATCTCTCGAGGTCGCAGCCCCCTTCAGCAGCCCCCAAAGCCCCGCTCACCCCCGGCTCACCTCGTCCCCGTGCCCGGCTCGGAGCCTCCGGCGCCGGCCCTGCCTCGGTGCCTCCCTCGGTGCTCCCAGCGCCAGGCTCGGCTCGCAGAGAAATAAATATTGAAGGCGCAGCCCGGGCCGGGATGAACAAAGGCCGAGTGTTTCCTGTTTGCTCAGCGCGGCCGTGCCAGCCGGGAACGCGCGGCCGGGCCCGGGGATGCTCCCGGGATGCTCCCGCGGGCAGGGATGTGCCGGGTCCCCGCTTGGGGTGGGAACACCCAGGAAAAGGGTGGGAGAGCCGGAGCGTCCTGCCCTGGATGGAGCTGGAATGCCGAGGGGAGCAGAGGTGGGAAATGGGGAGCACGCGGCGAGCGGAGCTGCAGGCGGGGCTGAATTCCCGAAGGAAAAGCGGGGCTGAATTCCCGAAGGAAAAGCGGGGCTGAATTCCCGAAGGAAAAGCTGCAGCCATTGGGATGAAGGCCCGGAGCTCTCCCGGGCTCGTCCTCAATGTCCGGCTGCCGCTTGGGAAGAGGGGATGGATCCCGAGAGGAAAGCAGAGGTGGGAGCCACAGCAGCTTCCTGGGAACGCTGGTGACACCCTTGTCCCCATCCTGTCTTGGTGGCCCCATGTCCCCAATGTCCCCATGTCCCTGAACTGGTGTCCCCAATGTCGCCATGTCCCTGTACTGGTGTCCGCAGTGTCGCCATGTCCCCATGTCCTTGTACTGGTGTCCCCAGTGTCGCCATGTCCCTGTACTGGTGTCCCCAATGTTACAGGTGTCCCCAGTGTCCCCATGTCCCTGTACTGGTGCCCCCATGTCCCTGTACTCATGTCCCCACATCCCTGTACTGGTGTCCCCATGCCCCACATCCCTGTACTGGTGTCCCCAATGCCCCCATGTCCCTGTACAGGTGTCCCCATGTCCCATGTCCCCATGTCCCCATGTCCCATGTCCCCATATCCCCATGTCCCATGTCCCCAGTGTCCCATGTCCCCATGTCCCATGTCCCATGTCCCCATATCCCCATGTCCCATGTCCCATGTCCCCATGTCCCATATGCCCCCATGTCCCATGTTCCATGTCCCCATGCCCCCATGTCCCATGTCCCATGTCCCCATGTCCCATGTCCCCATGCCCCCATGTCCCATGTCCCATGTCCCATGTCCCCATGCCCCCATGTCCCATGTCCCATGTCCCCATGTCCCATGTTCCCATGTCCCCAATGTCCCATGTCCCCAGTGTCCCATGTCCCCAGTCCCATGTCCCATGTCCCATGTCCCATGTCCCATGTCCCATGTCCCCATATCCCCACATCCCCTGCATGGATCCTGGGCGGGATCCATGGCGCTGTGCCCGTTTGGGATCCCGGCTGGATCCCCAGCGCTGCTCCCCGAGTTCCCTCGGTGGAAGGACACCCCAAAAGTGACACGGGGGAGCCGGGCTGGGACGAGAGGTGGCCCATCCGTCCTGTCCCCGTTGTCACCGCGGTGTCACCCAGGGAGGGACGAGGGGCAGGAGCTGAGAGCTCTCCAAGCCCAGCTGCTTGGGGAACACCATCCAGGCACTGCCCCACCCCGGAGAGGCTCCAAAACCTCCAAAATCCTCCCTTCTGGCAGCCCCAAAAAATCACAGTGGAGCGCAGTGACTGTGTCAATTTTTAACTTTTT